ACAGTAGTCCCCGCTTATCTGCAGTTTCAGTTACTTGTGGTCAGCCATGGTCCCAAAATATTAAATTGGAAATTCCAGAAACAAACAATTCATAAGGTTTAAGTTGTGATATGTTCTGAGTAGTGTGACAAAAATCTCAAACTGTCCCACTCTGTCCCGCCTGGGATGTGCACCATCCCTTTGGGGAGAGTATCCATGCTGTACTGTATATTCATATGCTCTCCATCCGTTAGTCGGTTAGTAGTCAGAAGGGTTATCAGATTGGTTATGAGAAAGATCACATTCACTTTTATTACAGTATATTGGTATAATTGTTCTATTTTATTCTTATTGTTGCTAGTCCCTTACTTTGCCTAATTTATAAACTGAACTTTACCACAGGTATGTACGTATAGGAAAAAACATACTATATAGAGGGTTTGGTACTGCTTGAGGTTTCCGGTATCCATTGGGGGTCTTGGAACATATCCCTAACAGATAAGAGGGGGGCTACTGTACTTTGAAGAACAAAATACCTGAGAGAAATAGTAGACAAATCCTCAGCATCATTAAATTTTCTTTTTCTTTCTCTTAAACCTTCTCCTTCCTTATACAGTTGACCCTGGAACAACTTGGGGGTTCGAGATACCAACCCCTACATAGTTGAAATTCAATGTATAACTTTCGAGTTTACCGCTGGCCCGTCTTAACCACAGATTCAATCAATCATGAATATAAAACAGTGTTTTCGATCCGATAGGGAATCCACGATTCAGAAAGTGTAGCTTGGAATGCAAAAATACTGTTTCTATCTGCAGATGGTTGAATTCACAGACTCAAAACCCATAGACATGAAGGACCGACTGTATTTGTAGAAAAAAAAATCTACGTATAAGTGGACCAGTGCAGTTCAAATTCATGTTGTTCAAGGGTTGACCGTAGTTGAATTTTCTGAAGTTCAAAGGGACACCCTAGAATTACATAAAGAGACTAGGTAAGAGCCTAGGTCGAGAGCCTGTGTCCTTACTGGTAGCTTTGTACAGCTCTCAGCCTAGGGGCGCTTGTAAAATGAGGGGGTTGCATAGACCATGTTTAAGTTTCGTTTAGAAAATGTCATAACTCTGTGAAAGGTATATTACCCAGGGACCATCAGCTTTAGTGCATTGAAGCTAATTGGAGAGAAACTTACAATGTGAGGGACACTTCCTATGGGAGAAGGGACAATCCTAGCTTGCCCTGGAGACTGGGGGAGGAGTAGAAAGAGTGGAAGAGGGCTTTATTCAACATTTGGGAAGGACACTTGGCTGGGTGTCAGAAGTAAAAACAAATGTGGTTCCTGCATTGGAGCTCTGTGTGTGTGTGTGTGTAGGGGTGCTGCTGCAGATAGACCACTACTGCTTAGCATTTATTTCCAAAGTGAGGACCCTTTTATACAAACACTCATATGATGTGTTTGTACATTTACTATCTCCTGTTTGAGAAAACATACCAGAACAAAAGGTTATTATGATTTTACTTTGAAATGAATGTGTAAAAATGAATCATCATGGCATTACATACATACGGGTATGAAAACTGGCTATGTGTGCAGGAGACATCATGCATTCAGTCTGTCTACAGTGCTTGGTGCACATACTATTTATTTGCAGACCAAATCTTGTAGTAAATCAGCAGCAACCCATAGGTCAGAAATTAAGGGATTAGGTTGATTTTCCGTGGATGTGCCCAGCCTTGGAGCCTTGGTTTTTGTCATTATTTCTCTTGCCTTCCTTCCTCTTCCTCTACCACCTGGTTGTTGCTCTGGGTCACTGCCAAGCCCCTGCAGCCCTGGCGCTCTTCAGGCTGATGAAAAGTTCGTCTTCAGTGTGGTGATGCCTTGAACAGAGGCTGAAAACTCTGAGTTTGCTCACCATTTGCCCAGAGAAATGAATGGCCCTGTTAGGTTATCTTAAATGTGATGCAATGGAGGTAAAGCTGTGTTGGGTGCCAAAGTCAAAACTAAATTTACTTTTATTAACATCAAATGAATGCATGAAGTCTCCAATAACATGATTTTAGACTAGGCTATTCTTTCCTCTGATAAAAGGCTAATGAGCAAAATTTGGCTGACCATGTGATCAGGTTAAACCCAGGCAAGATTCCAAAGCAATTCCCAACCACTGAAGAGTGAGAGGCATGCAAGTTGGACCAAAAAAAAAAAAAAAAGCAAATGCTTACCTGTATGATCAAAAACCATTGGAATCAGAGAATTAGTTGATTGACAGGTATTCCAAAGCAGATTTTGAAGTTATAATAAAAGTTTAAATTATTAGGGGCATGCAAATAATACTAACAAGTAATAGTTATTCATGCTGGAGTCTGCTCTACCTTTAAATTAATGAGAATTGTAATAAACACCAATGGCTACTGCTGGGAGTGGTGAGGATGGATGGTAAGGCCTCAGGTCCAGGATCACAGCTTAATTCTTAGACATGGAGATGGGATCTGTAAATCCCACTTGGAGTACAACAAATTATACCCTCACGAATTATATCCAAATTATATCCTAAAACATCCTTCTGAATGTTTTACTATTACGCATGACTCCTTGAAAATGGAACTTACAAATATCCTATTGCAAGAACTTTTATGCTGATTAGCAATAGTGTGACAATAATGTCTAGCAAAGAAGAAAGACAAGAGAAAGAGCAAGTCAAGCCTTTGGTCTTTTTATTTAACTAACATGACCTTCCTTATTCTTTTTTTATATTTAATTAACATGACCTTCCTTATTCTTTCAAGAAAAAAAGCCAGGAAAACTGAGTTTCATAAAGAAATGGCCTACAATATTATGTTTTAATTAAAATTGAATAAGCTTCCCTATGAATATTAAAACTTTAAAAGCTTAGCCAGAAATAGTACATTATTTAAAGCTGCATCACTTATGTCAAAGAAATTAGTACTTGATGCTTCAGAGATTCATCAAGTTCTTAAGTGATCAGTATCCTGAAACTCAAATTCAAATAACGCTAATACTTCAGTTACCCAAAGCAGAATTATTATGTTCATTAACTGCAACGAAGTTCGACGACCTCCAGTGTTGAAACGATTAGATAAAAAAGGTATTATTTACCTGTACAACTTAAATGGTTCTGGAAAAAATTTATTACCTTGCCAAAATCAATTGCTCCTCACCCCTTCCTCCATTCCACAAATGCTTGCGACCCAAACTTGTAAAGTCTCTCACTTTTTGTGTTGCACTCCAAGTTCATGCCGCCTTAAAAAGGTGGAAGTAAAAATCCTTTACTTGGTGTGAACTCTGCATCAGTCATTTTTATCTTTTAGATAATCCTATTTTCACGCTGCCTTCTGGCTTTTAGGTTGCTTCCCCCTTTCTTTTCCTTTTTTCTCATTGTGGTTTTTGGGGGTGGTGTAAGGGTGGTGGAGGTCAAAGTCCCTGAAACTGTTTGCTAAAAAACATGAACTGTACCACTAACGGGTAGAAATATAAAACAGGATTTTCTCAAATAAAATAACGCGTACTCTCAAACTCCCAGAGGGAACAAAAGAAAACAAAACGAGAACACACAAACTTGGGCTGCTCCGGCACAGCCACAAAGGTGTGAGAGGAGAGAGCACCCGAGAGAGGCCGCGGCTTCCGCCTCGCGGGCCCGCAGGTGGCTCGCGGCAAGCGCCCCTGACAATCAAGGCCGAGGTAGGCTGTGCCTGCGTCGCTAGTTTGCTGCGTCTGCCCCGGCCCACAAAAATAATCTACCTCGAAAGAACGACAAAACAGAAAGAGAAGTGTGCGCTAGGCTCCCAGGGAGGTATTACTTCCGATTACTAATCTGATTCCCCATCGCAGTCCAGAGAGGAACCTGCCACCAATCAAGTTCCTGCGCAAGTAGTTTTATTTCCCACAGCCTTTCCACCTGCCGCGGCGGTGCTCGGCGCACCCCAGGCTTCCCTCCGGCGACCCCCCGTGGGCTGCAGCAAAAGCGGGGCGCTTCGGCAGGGCGGGGGCGGGCGGCTGCTGTGAATCCGGCCGGTTACCGCCGCAGTTTAGTGGCCTCCGATTGGCCACCAAGCGGGCGGGGAGGCACAGCGGCGGAGGGAGGCGGAGGCGAGGGCGGGCGGCGGCGGCGGCGGCGGCGGCGGCGGGAGGGGATAGGAGAGGGGAGCGGGCCGCGGAGCGGAGCAGCGCGTGCGGAGAGCGCGGGGAGAGCGGCAGCGGCGGCGGCAGTGGCTCGCCCCGGTCGCGCTCCCGGAGGCCGAGCGGGGTTCGCGGGCGGCGGCGTCAGGGGGGTGGGGCGACGCGCGCAGTGAGCGGCGCGGGGCGAGGACCGGCAGGCGGGTGCCGGCGCTTAGGCTGCAGGTTCGGCCGCGGCAGCAGCTTTGCGGGACGGGGCCGCAGCGGTAGCGGCCACGCGGGCCTCTGGCTTCACCCCCGCGCGGCCGAGGCCGGAGAACAGTCTCCCAACTCGCCCGGGGACTTGAAAGGGGAGCCGAGAAGCGGCCCACAGCCCCCCACGCAGCGGAAGCTCTGGGCGGCGGGACTGCTGCCCTTTGTGGACGCAGCGCGCAGGACACGGAGCGCCCTCCCCGCGGCGCTCTTCCCCGCGTCTTAGTCGTGGCGAGCGGCCTTGGAGAGGGGACCCGGAGGAAACAAAACCACGAGCCCGAAACCTCGCGTTGCGGAGCTCCTGTGGAGCGCCATCCGCTCCACTTCCACCTCCGCATCCTACACCGGCCAAGGTCCCCGCCGCAGCCGCCTGCATCCCTCCCAGCTTCCGCTGCGCTTTGGGCCAGAGCAGACCCGCCTGCGCTGCCACCGCGGCCGCCTACACACACACACACGCGCGCGCTCATCTTCCCCCCGCCCCCGCCCCAGCCCCTTGATCTCTGGGTCTGTTTTATTACTCCTGGTGCGAGTCCCGCGGACTCCGCGGCCCGCTATTTGTCATCAGCTCTCTCTCCATTGGCGGGGAGAGGAGAGCAGCGGAGAAGGGGGTGGGGTGGGGAGGGGAAGGGAAGGGGGTGGAAACTGCCTGGAGCCCTCTCTCCGCGCCGCTGTTGGTGCTGCTGCTGCTGCTGCTGCTGCCGCCGCCGCCTCCGGCTCCTCGCTCGGCCCATCTCCGCCTCCATGTGCCGGATAGTGGGAGCGCCGCGGACCCTGCTGCCGCTGCTGGCGGCCCTGCTTCAGGTACGCGGCAGTCCCCGCGGACCGGGCCGTGGGCGAGGTGGGGCGGGCGGCGCCGGGTCCCTTTGTTCCCCGCGCCGCTGCGGGGCCGGGAAGGGAGGTGCCGCACCGCGCGGCCGGGAGCTGCGCAGACACGAGGCTCCGGCCGGGCTCTGGGGCAGGGCTGCCGGGGCGGGCTGGGCTCCCACGCCTCTCTTGGCGAGTCCCGAAGAAGCGGTTCGCAGGCCCCCTCGGCTTCTCCTTCGTGGTCGAGAGAGCTCGCGGGAGGTAGCTCTAGGCAGTAGAACGGTGAGGTAGGATAGGAAACCGGAGGGTTTTGCTGTTTTCTACGCTTCTCGCGCCTCGCATTGCACTTTGCTCCAGCTTTTCTTTTTTGTTTGTTTATTTCTGCGGAGATGGGTCGCGAGTTTGCAGTAGCATTTCTCACTCTGTTGTCTTAGTTACGGGACTTGCCTCCACCCCACCCCACCCTGGCACCCGCGCGCCTCCCGGTGCCAGAGTGCTCCACTGTCCTATTGTCTTTACCCCAGCCCCCAGTTGCCTCCTGTTCTCGTTCTCTTGGGCTCACAGTGTGCTGTGTCGGTCCCACCTGGGGAGAAAACCTCGCCCCCTTGCCTCCAGGAGTCCTTGCGGGTCTGTGCCTCCGCATCTAGCTTCTGCCCGTACGCCCCTTTATCCCACCCCGAGGGGGAGAAGTTCCGTTACTTGGCTATTATTATTCTCCCTTGGTCCGGCTCTCTCTGCCCTGCGTTTGCCCTGGGGGCGCTTTCACCGGGAGCCTCCGCACTTTTCACACCTTCGGGAGAATGCCAGCCAGCCTTGCATGGAATCGGTACTAGGAGGCTCCTCCGCTGCAGGAAGCACCTGCTCCAGGCAGGTCGCAGGCTCCCTCGCCACTCCACGCCGCCGTTTCCCAGCCCGGCCGACCACCCAACTTTCCCGTGGTGTCCATTCGGAGGATGCCCTGAGACCCCGCCTGGCCCGCCAGCTAGGTCCCGGGAAGAGACGCCGAGCGCCTCGGCCGCGGCCCCCTGGTGGGAGCCTGGCGGGGGTCCTGAGTCTGCCCCGGAGGCGGTGGGGTCCCGAAGCAGCTACCGGAGAGGGGCGTGTCTGCCTTCATAGCGGTGTAGGGTCTCCCGGGAAATTCTCCGGAGGGGCCCCTTGCGAACCGCCGGCGGCTGGGGGTGGCCAGCCGGTGGCAGCTCGTAAAAGTGCGGGCGCAGCTCGGAAGTGCGGCTGCGCCGGGGGCGGCCAGGGCAGGGCAGGGACAGATGGTAAGGATCACCCTCCTCTGTGGTCTTCACGGGTCAGGGCCTGGGGGAAGGGGTTACCGGCACCAGGGGCGGGACAGGGTCGCCGCCCACGGTCTCTTAGCGCTTTTTCCCGCCGCCCCCTAGTGGGGTGTGGGCCGTGGCGGCGCCGAGCCCTGTCCATGGTGCGCCATGGAGCCGCAGCCGGGCCCCGTCCGCTCTGCGCTCTCTTCCCTGGGTCGCGCTCTCCCACTTTCCTGCTCTCTCCCCGCCACGGGCTCTTTGGCCGCCCGGGTCCCGTTGTTTCTTTTTCATTTCTTGGGTTTCTGCTTTTGTTCTTTCGTTTCCTGCTGGTCTTCTCCCCTTCCCCCACCGGCCAGTCCGCCCTCCTGACTCTGGGCTTTTCAGAACTATTAGACTAGACATTTTTTGGTCCCTGCCGTTTTGGGGAGTCCATGGAATTTCTTTTTAACTTGGGGGAGGAGACCTGCCAGTCATTTGCTAACAAAAGTATCTCCTGTTATAAAACCGCCCTTTATTCTTGGAGTGCACACTCCTCATTCTTTCACCTCCTGTCACTTCATTTATTGTTTTTTTTGTTTTGTTTTGTTTTTGTTTTTTTGTAAATGGGCTTTATTAAAAGAGGTTAGGCTGAAAGGGAAGAGGAAAAAAGTGCTACTTTAAGTGTTTGAAGTTAAGGGGAATGCAAAATAAACTCATGAGTCCTTGGGACATCAGATATTTTTTTTAAAACAAAGGAAGTCATAAATAAAAAATATCTTCTAAAACCATTATTTTTTGGACATAATATAGCCTCAGAATGTGATGGTATGTTCACTTTTTGATCTGAAAGTAAGTTTTAATTGAATACTGTACAGTGAAGTTAGGACAGGAGGAGACATTTATTTGATGGTCATTAAACCATGGGACTAAGTGTGGTACCAAAGGGGCAATCTCATTTCCTTTTTAGTCATCTACCTTGAAGTCAGGTGTGGATTTTGTAGATCATTTACTGTTTTCCTTAAGTATTTTTAAAAATACCATTTATAAATGTCAAATATTACACTTATCTTTTCCATTGTAAATTCTTTTCTCAGTTTATTCTAGACAATGTTATGCTGACTTTCATGAACCTTCAGGAAAGGGAAAATTATAACTTTGTCATCAAGTTGTTTGGCAGTCTTCTAATTCATGGCTGCAAGTCAAGCAATAACATTGAATGATTTGCAAGGTCATTAGGAGTGGAAGCAGAGCAGTTTATGCAACATGAGTTTTAGGGTTATGTGCACCATGTGGATTGTACAACTGAGATTAGAAATGACTGTGCTAATGGCCTGCTTTACACACCAGAATAACAAAGATCTATCTGCAAGGTGAAAATGGCCCCTCTGCAGTCATCTGCTATTAAAAGTCTAGTTTTTTTCAGGGCAGACTAAGGAGCCAAGAGTTTCGGAAAAGAGAATGAATAGGTTATTAGTGTAGATACAGAGCAACCTCATTTTTTTCAGACCAGTTAAATGAGAATAATTGAATATTCAGAAAGACTTTATGCCTTTAATTGTTAACTGAAGTGTACCTTGTTTTACTTTGAACACTTTTCTTTCACTTTCAGAGATTCTTTTTTAGTTTTCTTATTCTTTTACCTAGATTTACATATTCTAGTCAATTCTGCATATTACAGTATTTAGCTTTAAAATTTTCTCCATTCTTCCTCATTTTAACTTAGGGTATTAGCATTGTCTTTTTCATTAAAAAAGGTAGAATTTGAGCATTACATTTCACTGATCAAGGGATATGACAAAATTATGACAGGCTTTCCTTTTAAATTATACGGTGACTCTCAAATCCATGAATAGATTTATCATCGGAAAGAAAATCAATTTTACTTCTTCTGCCTACTCAGTAATTAGTAGATTAGAAACCTGTTTTGTTTTTCTAGTTCATATTTTGATTGCATAACTCCATTGTTCTAATTTAAATAACACTCGTATGTCTTATGACACATCAAGGACATCACCTTAATGTTCATAGATATTCTGGGTTCATAGTCTTATCACATAAGTCCTGCATTCAACCCTGGATGAGGACATATGAAAAAAGATGCATGAACCATAGGTGATTTTCATCTGTTTTGGTATAAACTTTGAAGAGATTAATATGCAACACATGAAACATAAAAAGAAGCTTTGTTTTAAGATGTGGGAAATCTAGGATGTGATAATCATTTTAAGTATAAAATATGTATGTCTTTGTGTTTATTTGATTTTCATGTGTCTTTGTTACAAGTTCTTATAAAACTAAGGAGAATTAACATGGTGTTCACAGTTTATTCTACTTATTGGACATAGTTATGCATATCTTTGCCCTTAACTTGTGGACTGTGGTGGTCATTACTAATAGATGGTGCATTGCAAATGTACTAGGTATGATTTGAAAAATAATTTGTGTATCTTAAAATATTTTATAGGCACATTTAAAAAATATACACACATATATTTGTGTGTGTGTACATATATATATATGCCACAATTGCAAGTTCAGAATTTATTTACAGAGTGTAGTTTTTTACTTTCATTCCTTTACTAAAGTCCACTTTCACCTTCTTCTGAAACTTTGGACTGAGATTTTTTAAGAAGAAATTCTTTTTTAGATAGTTTGTATTTTTTACATGTAGAAACTAAAGTCTTTTTGGAAGAGATGATTTTGGTGGCAGTGTATTACACCAAACTGTCCTTAATTTCCTTTTTCATTAAAAATCTCCAATGCTTAAATCTGTTGTGCCTCATTAAGCTTTAGGATTATTAATCGGGAAATGTCAAGATTTAAAGCAACAGTTAATCTTGCTTTAAAATGCCTTTTAAAAAAATCCTAAGTAACTCAAATCCCCATTCTGTTTTCCAAGGGATAGTCTCGTTAGAGTGTGATATTTTAAAGAAAAATCAGAGCAGTTATTTAAGAAATGTGGTATTTGTGTATACACTCTTGCTTTGCCCAAGTTAACATTATTCAAATTTTTTCTTTTGGCTCGAATACAAAAAGTAATCAAGTTTAAGCACACAGACTTGTGGTGAATTTGATCAACCATTTAGAAAAAGTGATAGATTTGGAATTGGGATTTTGTCATTACTCAAATGAGTAATTACTGAAGTATTTTGCATCTGCCATTAGTACACCTTTTAGAACCTAAGTATTTCCAAGTTGGGTTAAGAACTATAAGTGAAACATAATTTATACCAACAAATCACTATGCTTCACATTTCTGATTTTTCCTTACTAACACTTATGTTTGTCCTCATTTTTCAGCAAATTCTATCCGTTAATTTGAGCAGATGCTAGTCTTTGTGTATTTAACTAATTGTAGATAAATTTTAATTAAGCAACCCTATTCATGCCTGGCAGATAAATGTTTTAGTAAGAGCTATATCTTCTACATATATAAAATGCTGTGTTTCAAGCATGAAAAAGAAGGTGTGCATTCATGAGTTAAATGCAAATTTGGAAAGATTTGGAAATAAAGATTGCAATTTGTGTTATAATACCATTTTTAAAAGGAAAATGTAGGTTACACATGAGTACTGCTCAGGTTTTATTTCTTGTTACTCTTCAGTACTCAGTGCACTTCCTTGGCTGAGCTGCCAGCTGTACTTACTGCACCTGTAAATAAATGGGTTGCAAAGACACAAATATCGAGCCCAATCTTGAACTCAAGCATCGCTATCCACCCTTTGAAGAAGGTAGAGTCTCTCTTATTCC